TGTGTAAAAAAAAAAAATGCAACATCTGTGAAGTGCAATAAAATGAAGCACAAAACTACGAGGTATGCCTGTTTATTCAGCGGCAATATATACTACCAAAAATTTTTCCAAAATTTTCCAGTGTATAAAAGCTCTAATTGCTGCATATCCTCAGCAATACTTAGTACTTCGCATCTTTTCTACTTTAGCTTCTCTGCTGGGCGTGTAATGGTATTACATTGTGGTTTTAATTTCTATTTCTTGGATAATAATGGAAATTAAGCACTTTTTCACATGTGTATTGGACATCTGGATGTTCTCCTCTGTGAAGAGTCCATTCAAACATTTTGTCCACCTTTCTACTGGATTGTCTTTTTTTAATGATTTGTTCCAGATTCAAATGTTTTGTCAGATATATGTATTGCAAATACTTCTCCCACTCTGTGCCTTTCAATGAACAATAATTCTTAATTTCAATATATTCTAATTTATCAATTCTATAAAACTCATTTTTAACATATTCTGAACATCTACAATGTCCTAGGTACCTTTAAAACAAAAACGAGAAGGCTAAATACCTTCTTTCTAAGGAGCAGCATGATATAGCCATGCGCATGCCAAATGGTATACACTGTATCACTCTTTATAGTTATAATATTTTAAGGGGTTCCCTCTAAGGGATATGCCATTTCTACACACTTTGCAGAAAGCTAAGTATTCATACATTTAATTCTAAATTATTGGACACATTGGTTTTTAAACATTGACTTAGGCTTTTGAATACCAACTTCTAAGGCTCTTTGTTTCACGGCTATGAAGAATTAGAACTGAAAAGAAAATCAAGCAGAAGTCATGTTCTCTAGCTCTATATGAGTATCTTTAGTTTAGGGTAATACTTCATTCAAACACTCTTGAATTCCTGAGTGTGGTCCACCATCTACCAGCTCTCTTTGGAGGAATTTCCTACTTTAGAAAAGAGAGGGAGATAGTCAAAGAGCCTAGGATTAAGGAAACCTTCATCACTGATGTGACTTTTCCAAGAGAGCATCTTCCAACAGAAATCCTTCAACCCCTAGCCTTTTCCCAGCTTTCATGAGAGAATGCAGTGAAATCTATCTAAATCTCTGCTTCTCTTTATCAGTGGTTTTTACCTTTCATGCCATAGAACCTAAGGTTTCTGAGACATGCTTCAGAGGCTTCACAAATGTTTGATTCAAATTTCATTTATTTAAAAATAGGTTATTACATTGCCAAAGGAGATATAATGCCAAAATTTAACGTATTGCAAAACTGCCCACTGTTGATTTGAGGTTAAGTCATTTCAGTGTAGATCTCAGAATTAATCTCCACCTGCCATCTTTGTAACTGAAGCGCATTCACAGGATTTCCAGGTGAATCATTTGAAATCCACTCTCACTTGTTTCTACTTCTCTGGAAGGATCAGGGTTTTCTTGATAGTATACAACCAAGACAGAGAAATAAGAAATAAACTGGGGGCTGGCCAAGTGGAGCATTGGTTAAGAGCTGGCTTGGGACGCCAGAGGGCCCCGGTTCGGATCCCACATGAGGGCCAGTGACACTGCCCTCCACAGCTAAGATGCTGAACAACAGCTCAACCTGGAGCTGGGTTGCCATGAGTCGCCGGCGACGGCGTAGGCTGCAGCCCCTGCTGCAGTGGGTTGCCATGGGCTACCGTGTGTAGCCAGCAGCCAGCGTGAGCAGCCAGCAGCTGCCGTGAGTGGCCATCCAGAAGCCGGCGACTGATCTTCCTCGCCCGGGAAGCACGCGATGGCAGTACCATCATGGGCCAGTGAAGCAATGTCCTCCACAACTAGACTGAAGAACAAAAAGACAGCAACTTGTCTGTTCCTCTTCCCCCAATTCCCCAGTACTGTTCCCATCCCACAATTCCCCAATAAAAAAATCTTGAAAAAAAAAAAGTGTCCTGAAGCTGCTATAAATGCAACTGTTGTCCGTAACCCTCAACTTCAAAATTTTCAAGCATAAAACAGCAGGGTCAAGGGTCCAGTGGCAGTGGGGCCAGAAAATGCATTTTCTGAGCTTGGTTCTGCAGACTTCTTATTTATAATTTTAGCTACTCAATTTCCTTCCAATAAATTCCTTCTTGGCTAAAAACAAAAAAGAAAACCCCCAAGAAAACAACATACCAGCCTCACTGTTTTGTTTTTTATTTACCCATAAAGTTAATATTAAAAATTGGAACTTATAAATGTTTAGTAATAAAACACAAACTTTCATCTACTTTATATATTGAGGGTCCTTGACAGATTTTGTTTGAAAAAGGACTCCAGTGCTTTTTAAAATTTAACTTGAAAATCAAATGCTGAATCACCTCCCTGACTCCTGTCCTAGCCTCCCTTCAGTCACTTCTATGCCAATCTAACCACATCATGCCTCCACCTAAAATCTTTTTAAAGTTATTATCTATTGGATCTTCAGAAAAGTCATGATGCATTTGTCTATGTTTTTCAAAGGTCATTTATTTATATAAGGAACAAAGATCAATCAATTATATATTGCCCGTTTTTTTCAATAACTTTTTGCCAGCTTTCAGTGAACTTCATGATTCCTCGTTCATAGAAGGACCTGTCTTTATTTGCGAAAAACTGAACAAGGTGCTGGTTTACAGCCTCATCTGAATTGAATGTTATACCACACAAGGAATTTTGAAGAGAGCGAAACAAGTGGATGTCTGATGGCGCAAGGTCAGGTGAGTATGGTGGGTGTGGCAACACACCCCATCCAAGCTCCAGTAATTTTTGACGGGTGATCAAACTTGTGTGTGGTCTGGTGTTGTCGCGATGGAACACGACTCCTTTACAATTAATAAGCTCTGGGTGTTTCTGGATGATGGATTCATTCAAACTGTCCAGTTGCTGACAGTACACATTCAAATTGATTGTTTGGTTCCTTGGTAGGAACTCGAAAAACACAACACCTTTAAAATCCCACCATACTGACAGCATAACTTTCCTTTGATGAATGTCTGCTTTCGATGTCATTTGAGGCGAATCATCACGTCAGGACCAAGACCATTTGCACACCACATTATTGTAAACAATCCACTTCTCATCACCAGTTATCAGTCGCTTCAAAAAAGGATCATTTTCCTCACGTTTAATGAGCGTATTGCAGATGTTTATACACGCTGTCAAATGAACTTTTTTGAGTTCATGCGGAACCCAAATATCGAGCTTGCTTACATATCCCAGCTTCTTCAGGTGGTCATGAACGCTTGAATGATGGGTGTTCAATGTTCCTGCAATCTCTCGTGTCGTGTAACGTGGGTTTGACTTGATCAATACCTTTATTTTGTCCTCAACAACCTTGGTGGGCCTCCCTGACTGAGGAGCATCATTGAGATCAAAATCACCAGCACGGTATTTCGTGAACCATCGTTGGCACTGACGTTCTTGTAGAGCACTGTCACCGTAAACTTTATGCAACTTTTCACAAGTTGATGCGTGTTCTTCCCTTTATGGAAGTAAAACAGTAAAATATGGCAAAAGTGCATGGTTTGGCCTTCCATCTTTAACTTGTTGTAAAATCTCCAAAATTCAACCAAATCGCTCAATTTGTTTTTAGAATGAAGCTAGAACTGTCAGCTGTCAAATGACATAGCAATAACATAGATGCGAATGACTCTAGTATTTCCAAAAATGAACTAGTGCCATCTGTTACAAACATGCGTCATGACTTTTCTGAAGACCCAATAATAGGGACTCCTAGAAGGTAAATTTCACATTATTTGCATAACTACAAGGTCCCTCAAGATTTGGTACATGGTAGTGGGTGCTCAATCATTGTTTGTTGAATCAATCAGTAAAAACTGGAGAATGTAAGAATGAGCCACACTGTCCTACATTCCCCTTGAGTTTCAAAACATAATAAATGTTATATGGTGTTTACACATAATTATCTCATTTACATACAGCGCTTTCCAGACACATCATATATACAGAGGGTGCCAGAAAACATATACACATTTTAAGAAAGGAACGAACTATTAAAATTGTAATACTCAATATATACCGATAACAAAAGATGAATACAAGTACGTTTGACTTCTGCAATTACAAGAGGTGCTCAAAGTGGTTACCATCAGCATAATTTTAATACGGTTTTTTCCTTTCTTAAAATGTATATATATATTTTTGGCACCCTCTGTGTGTGTGTGTGTAGTTTCTCCAAACAAGATGAGTTTAGAAAAATAAGAGGAAATGCTTCTTTAGAAAGCAGGTGCATACAAGTTACCTCAAGAGGCTGCAAAGTTTGAGAAAAGGTTCTTCTAAAGTAATATATAGATTGATAATGGGTGACTGAGGATTCTAAAGGTTTATAACTAAAACACTCCTGGTCTGGCGTGCACCAGGCTGACGGGAGATAAGTGGTGGTACGAATCTGGGCATCACAGGGAGAGACACTGGACTTTTTAAAAACAGAAACTTATTTTGAAATATCCGGGACTTATTTTAAGCAGTGAACACGACAGCGAAGACCTAAACATAATTCTCCCTATCAGCCAATGCAAATCTAGGGCCTTGGCTTTCAATTCACTTCTCTGAGCACATCTTCTCAAGTGTTTCCTCAACGCCACACAAGGATTTCACTTGAGCCAGGGCTTGGAACAGAGACAGGTGTGAGCTCTGTCACTCATTAAGGTGGTTATTTGTTTTAAGCCTTAATTTTCTTCATAGCCAAACTGATAAAAGCTCCCGACCCCCAACCTCAACCCCAGGGTTGTTAACAAGTACATGAGGCCAAACGGGACGATTTAACCACCTCCCCTGCGCTGCTCACGCTCAACCCCGGCGCGGATCCCTGAGAAGGTGCCAGCCACTGAGCCGGCCAGGACCCCTTCCGCTCCCTCCACAGGACTCCGCGGGACGTTCGTGCGCACGCGCCGCCGCGCCCCGGGGGCTCTCGCGCGCCCGCGCGGCGCCCGTTGGGCGTCCCCGCCGCTCGCTCCGGGGAACGGGCGCGCGCGGGCGCGCTCCGGCGGCTCCGCCCCCAGCGGCGCGCGCTCCCACGGTGACCGAGGGGCGGGGGACCCGGGGAGGCCGGCCATGGAGGCCCTGAGAAGGGCCCACGAGGCTGCGCTCCGGCTGCTGCTGTGCCGGCCCTGGGCCTCGGGCGCCGCCTCCCGCCCGAAGCCCCGCGCCTCGGAGGTGCTGACGCAGCACCTGCTGCAGCGGCGCCTGCCGCACTGGACCTCCTTCTGCGTGCCCTACAGCGCTGTCCGCAACGACCAGTTCGGCCTATCGCACTTCAACTGGCCGGTGCAAGGCGCCAACTACCACGTCCTACGCACCGGCTGCTTCCCCTTCATCAAGTACCACTGCTCCAAGGCCCCCTGGCAGGACCTGGCCCAGCAGGACCGGTTCTTCACGGCGCTCAAGGTCGTCAACCTCGGTGAGTGGCCCGGGCCTGTGAAGCACGTCCCACCAGTGGCCCCACTGTTTGCAAAGCACGCCGACAAACGTTCTCGCGCGGAGGCCAAGACCCCGGCCCAAGGTCAGACCACGTTGGTTCCGGAGGAGCCTTCCTCTGCCCCGAGCCGGCTCGCCCGGGAGCACGCGCTCGCCACGCTTCAACCCCCTTGCTGTCGGGTTTCCCAGACACTGGATACTGCCTGCGCGTCCCACTCACACTGCACCCATCCAGCACTGGCCTTGGCTCGGGTCTTTTGTATTTCCCACCCTGCAGGTGCTTATCAGGGTTAAGTTGATGCTACTCACTCGTTCCCCGTAAAGTGGGCTTTGGCCACAGGCCTGTACGGAGGGATCGCCCTGCATCACCCCCCTGGGGAGGGGACATCCCATCCTTGCTTCCTGCCGCTCTTAACTGGGAAGACTCCTACATTAGGCAGTAAGGAGGGTGTAAGCCACTGGAAAGCGGCTCTGAAGTTAAAAATGTCTTATTGCATTGGCAGGCTTCTTTCTCATGAACATCACTTTGTGCGTGCGTTCCCTGTGATAAAAACTGGAACGACCTTTTAAGTTTTTTGTTTTCTTTATAGGAAATCCCAGCAAATTCCTTCTACTAAAAGCACTAGCGGTTATCAGTCATGTTCGCCTCCTCAGGTGCTAAGCCTAAAAGATATTTTAAAAACTGCCTCTGTAATATTTTTAGGTTTTCATAGGAATATTCTAATTCTGAGAGCATCTGTCATCAACCAGAAGAAAATAAACACCTATTTTCTTCTGGTTGATGACAGAAGAGGCATGAATATTGACATGGGTGTATCTTTTACCCGTCAATGGAAAATAAGCCTCAAGATGTTTCGAACCTATAAATTAGCTGATATCAAATTCATCCAGATTTCAGTAATTCAAAATCTAGACTTGGGAGCTGACCAGTTTTTTAAGACCCAAATTAAAGCTAAAGCAGCTGCACTAGTGTTATATAGCCTGATAGCTCATTAAATTTAAATATGGTATGTATATTTTTGCTTATAATTCACATATGTCAGTCTTGGGGTTTTTGAGCCATTGCTCCACCGGGACTGCCCTGGGTTCTGTCCAATAAAGGGAAGATTATCTAGCAATGTGTAATCCTTCACAAAAATGTCTTATTGTTTGGCTGATGGACTATATAGAGAGAGCATACCCACTAATTTTGAGGTTCATACGAATTTGAAAATGTGAGGTGACTTAGAAAATTCAATTCAAAATTATTTGGAAAGACAAGTGATGACTAGATTCAAGAAGAAGTTTTTTTAAAAGTTTATTTAGCATTTTCAGAATCAGAAAAAAATAATCGTTCTTTCCAAATGTAAAGAGTAGTAGGTTAGGAAAAGTGTAACTGGAGGAAAAGTATAACATGAGCCAAATGCCTTTTTTTTTAAGTTTTCACAGTTTAAAACCTAACACTTTAGGAACACCTTAATGATTAGGGGCCTCTCTTTTAGATAGAAAGAAATCCAAAGAAAAGTAGGATCCCAGAACATTCTCACAAAGAAAAGTAAAACCTTTTGAGGAGAGAAACAGCAGTTGTTGTTTCTTATGTGGAAGGCTGAAGAGTGGTGATTGGTCTTTGTGTTCTTTTAAAAATTTTAAAAATCCTGCTTAGATGGGAATAAGAGTTTCAATTAAACAAAAAGGAAAACTTTCTGTTCATACATGCTTTAATACAAATTGGCTTATACTAATAAAGGAATTTATTTCTGGACTTTTTAAATAAAGAGTAGTGTATTCACTAATTTGATAATGTTTACTTTGTATTTTTGTCTGAAGGTAGGGATTGTGAACTAGATAATAAGATTCTTCCCTAGTCTGTGATGTACAACTGCCCTTCTGGATCACAAGTATGCATTCTATTAATAAAAATACTCAGGGTTTTATTTGTCTTCTACCCTTCCAAATGAGAAACTATCAGAGTAATTCATTTTTCCATTTTGTAAATAATACAGATTTCTCTCTCACTATTTGTTCTCTTTCTCTTCTGCCTTTCCTTCAATGGAAGCTGACATTTTATTGATGGTTTATCAGTCTAGGAATCCTGCTGCGAAGTAGATTGAGATTTAAGAAAAGCAACTTACCATTGGAATGAATGGGTAATCAGAGACTTGATACAAAGTTCTAATTTTTTTTAAGTGCTTAATTTGACAGTGGTTTACCTACTGTTCAGCTGACTCAAAATGAATTATCATGCAAAGAACCGACTTTCACTTTCATATGTTTCAGACAATCTGGGAAAAAATTAATTTTTCATGGAATCTTGTAGACTTTAAAGCATATGTGCTACAAAGAAAATTGTTTTTTTAATGTGTAAATTATATAAGTGGCAAATCTTATACAGCATATTAGCCTGACTGCATTAAATAGACAGCTGAAAAAAATACATAGAATTTCTGACTCCTATATCACAACTCCATCCCCTATGAAACAGCATTACTGGTAATGGTTCTTAGTTGTTTTTTAATAAGAGAAAATGTAGTTATTAAGCTAGTAATCTTTGATCAGTCCTCCATTTTAGCTGAAAAAATATTGACCAAATATTTAACTGAAAACTGTAACAAATACTGTAAAACAAAATTTTCAGTGTCACCAGCTATTCTTTAAATTTATGTCCTTAGAATTGGTTTAAAAGGCATTATTTTATATTTTTTTACTCTTAGTATATTTAGAAAATTAATAATTGTTTCTAGAGCCTTTTTTGTCTTCCTCCATTGATTTTCAGCTTTTGAAACTGATATCATTTTTTTTAATTATTTTTTATTTTGACTGCTCCCTATACTCCTTGCTCACTTCTACCTATCTTGTTCTTGTTTTTCTCTTGTCCAGTCCCCCACTTGTTTTTTTTTTTCCTTTTTGGTTAAATGATTTATAAGTAGCTTTATGTTGCTAGTTTTTATAGATTTTTTTGTAACATTCCCTTGGGGCATTTAGAGGTTATTTTGGGTATTACTAAGGCAAAGAAGGCAATATACTGTAAAAGGTTTCATTAAAGTTCCAGGGAACCCTGTGATAGTGACAAGCTGTGACCCAGTATATTCCTAAAAATAGAGAGGTGCCAGCGTGAATGGGCATTTTTGCCTCTTCGCATTGCCAGCTAGTGATCCTTCTCCTGATTAATCTTTGGCATCACAGTGGCTTGAATGCACCTTCAGGGAATAAGCACAAAATAGTTCAGTACACTTATACACTCAAAGAGAGCATAACATAGCAAATATACTCTTGCAGAAAAATAAGAAAAAAATTTAGTAATACGATTGGTCCTGAGATGTGTTGATTTCTCTATTAGAAAGAAAGAGATTTTCCAAATGTAAAACTCTTTTAAATTGTCATTTTCTGTCCAACTTCTACATAGGAGCAAATTAATACTTGCATAGAATATAGAATACTTGTTATTGATTCATGTGCCTGTGGTTTTATACATATGCTTTTAATATGTTAATGGTCATTGATTCTAAATAAGTACCTTAAAAAAGATAGGAACTGTGAAAGTTTGTTTTGTGTCCACCATAGTGTCATATGCATATGAGTGCTTTAATTCATATCTCAGGGTAGTATATATGTATGTTTAGTTTCGTGTATCACAAATGGCAACTAATCGTAAATATAACAGGAAAATCTTATCAAATGGAAATATTCCAAGGAAGAAACATGTTGGAATCTACCTATTTCAAATAGGTCTAAATAAGATTGTTTCCCAATCAGTTATAAAAATACTAATGGGTTGTTTCTTTCTCATGCCTGTTATAAGACACTTCCTTAGAGCTAGGTTTTGCCTTAGTTTTGAAGACAGCTGTTTGACCCAGTTTCTTTTAAGTTGTACAAAAAAGTTACTTTAGCCATCAGTGTTACAGTCTAACTTAAAGTACAGTCAAGTTGACCTAGTAATTTAACCTCAAGGGCAGTAACCAGGAGCATCTACAACTAAACTAATGAATATTTTCTGTTTGCTTATTTTTAAAAAGAATATAAAATTACTTCATAATTGCTTGGAGGTAATGAATTAGTGCTTATAAAGTGCTTTGAATTAAAATTATTCCAGCTGTATCTATAGTTTAAAAAATCTCTAGGCTCACACAGTTGTTACTATGTTCCACAAACATAGATGAAATTGAGATCTTAGAGTTAATATTTACTTATATTTTTATAACTTTATAATTTGTTGACATTGCTAAACAGTGCTATGTGATTTGTACCACGACAAATATATGGGTACATGGTTAATAAGCATTGATGTTCATAAATAACATATTCATTTGTTTTTTAGGTATTCCAACTTTATTATACGGACTTGGCTCCTGGTTATTTGCTAGAGTCACAGAGACTGTGCATACCAGTTATGGACCAATAACAGTTTATTTTCTAAATAAAGAAGATGAAGGTGCTATGTATTGAAAGTGTGCATTGGAGAACATAAATATTAGTGGATTTTCTCTTGTGTGAATGTGCAATATTTATTTTTGATCCTTTAAAATAAAACTTTTGCAAACACCTTGTTCTTTCTACAATGTCTGGCTCTTTACGATGAATCATTGTTCTCAAGAGACAAAGCTTTTCACACATTGTTATATATTACATACTCCCTTTAGTCAATGGGAACTAGAAACATATGAATCTTATACCAATTTTTTTCCTAGAACTAGATTAAACTACAGATAAAAAATGATTAGAACATATATAGATTCTATAGCTAGGTATTAAATTCTCTTTGAAGAGAAAATATAGACACACAAAGAAGGGAGGGGAAAAATATTTTACATAACATTGGAAAAAGTAGAGGATTTTAGGGTATATGGTGGAGATAATATAATATCATTGGCAAATCCAGAATTGATGAGAATTCTAATTGCAACCTGAAATCTAAACTACTCAGCTGCCAGGATTTTAAATGGAAATGTATTAAAGCTCTTGTTCCATTTACCTGGATGAGAGGTCTGGGTATAATGTAGAAACTTCTCATTGCCTAAAGAATCCAATACCAACTACCTTTTAAAATATAATAATTGGTAAATGTAAACGCATCAAGATAAATGATATTAAGACTTATTAAAAGTTAAAATACCATGCTGATAAAGCTGTAAGAACAATTAATATCTAGAAACACGCAGAAAAATAAATTTGATAACTTTATAAAAGCAATTAGCTCAAATGGTACATATCCATAGACTTATTGGCGATGGGAAGTGGGCTGAAATTTTAAAGACCTGATGGCAGTTTTGCATTAGAATTTTATTAAGTTAATTGCATTTTTGAAAGCAAAGTCATTAAAAAAAATTTATCCTTGGGGGTAGTTACAAAATACCCAGACGAATGGTAAATTTCAGAAATTTGGAGTAATTTAGGGAGAACTAAGAACTATTTAATTTCTAAACCAATGGGTGTTTAAGATTTATGATTTCTCCCATAATTACAAACATACATTATATATCATTTTATGTTAATATGTTGCTGATACTCTATAACATTTACACATTTTTTGGTAGCAAAATATAAAATTCAATCTAACCAACATTTGGGTGCTTGCTTCTGGCAAATCACTAGAGAAAGGAAGTGATTGAGGTGAAGGCACCAGAATCATGAAGTAATACAAACTGGCTTCGTTAAAGGTAGTCATTTTAAATGAGCTTCAGAGAGTGAACTGTTCTGCAAATATATGTAGTGTTCACTTGTCTAAAAGCAATTCTAACTAACACTTTAATCAAAGAAGTACTTATGCCAATATATTTAGTCCAGAAGAATGTGCTTGACACTAGTTAAATGAATGGCTTACACAAAGATAGTGTTACATTAAGCTTCATTAATAATAAAACTGACTATTAGCATTTTGCAAGGAAAGCTAGAACTGACTTCCTCTGTAATGGGCAAAGTTAAATAACTATAGCTCATAAGTTTTAAGTCAAATACTGCTCATTCATTGCTGCTGGTTTTGTCAATACTTGTTGTAAAGGTTTGGTCCCAACACAAGGCTGATAAAATGTTTTTTAATTACCAGACTATAAATACAGCTTTTCAGTAGAGTTGCACTTCTTTTCACAGTGGCCTGTTTGATTTCTGATAATTTGTAGTGCTGACTCTGCTTACCTGTTTTTCAATAGCTATACTCAGTGTGACTTCTTGTCCATATGGTGATAGGTAAGTCTCCTTGGAGAACATCTTTGACAAACTACCCTATTGATCTCTGTAATTCTCCGCTTGCAGCATTAAATAGAGCCTTGATTTCTTGTCTGATGTGCTCACTGTGTAACAATTAAGCAAATGTAATATTTTCTTGTATTACATGAAAATCAATAGACCTCTTGCTCTCATGAAGTTGATCATGGTGAAGGATGAACTCGGTGATGGCTAAGGGCATGATTCAAATATTAAAATATTCATAGGATTTATTAAGTCTTATGAACCTTTTAGTCTGAAAAATGTTTGCCATTGAACAGGAATGGTTTAAGTTTTTTTCTTTCAAGTTGGATATTACATCAAAGCATTGTGGCCTAAAAGGGATAAAGTATAAATGCTGGATGTCAAGAGATTGATTCTATTTTTAGTATTAGAACTGACTTACTTTTTGACCTCAAGCTAACAACTCTACTCCTTTGTGGCTTCGTTTTTTTCCACCTGTAATTTGAGGACAAAACAAGAAACCTTTATACCTTAAAATGTGTCATGAATATACTTGTAATTAAATGTCAAGTTTTATTTCAGAAAAGCTATTTTTGTAATCCTCATCCTTCTGTTCCATTTATATAGATATAGATACAGATCTATATTTATATATGAATTCATTAATAAAAGGATTTTTAAAATGTGAGAGGAAGAAAGGAGAAGACACTGAAAGCATCTTGTGTGAGTGTGTCTGTACACATGCGGTTATGCCTGAGATGGCAAGCAGGGTTCCAAGTGGACCCTAGTCTTCTGGATATCAGTTAAGTCTTCTGGATATTAGTTAATGAAACAACCAAAAGCTTTTCTGCCTATACTTCTTTAATGAGATTTTGTCTTTAAAATAATCTAGGCACAACTTTTTTTTAGCAAAGGTGTGTTTTTAGTATAAAATCTTGCATCTCTTCTATTATTATTTTTATACAAGTCAATTATCCTGTATTGGAAGACATTCCCAGTCAAAATTCTTAGTTCCTATGTAAGTTGTGAACCACCATGAAGATTCAGTAACAGAGTTGGGAGCATGAAAGAAGTTCTGAATACAAAAATCCCTAGTTTCTCAATGCTAATGTCATAACATACCAAATTATACACATTGTTATAATTTCTTTCATCATACATATTTAGTCACTAATATTTTAATTATTGACCAGTAAAAATTGAAACATTTTTAATTCATAAAAGCCATATGTATTTCTTTTTAAATGTACATTTTATTTTGTGTCATTTATATTCACTCAAAACATAATCTCAGGACATCTATAATTCTTCATGAAATAACTCTTAAAGAATGAATGACGTTTGAATGAGCAGGATGACATAAAGACAAGGATCTTGGTTTCATTTCATTTAAAAGCTAATGCAGATAACAGAAACCTTATCCTAAAGCTAGTGGATCGGGTATCTACTTTTTTTCAGCACTTACATTCAGACAGTAATGATGTTTGGGGGCATCTTAACCTAAACAAGTACTTAGCATTACATCTCACCTGGGTCAACAGTCTAGGGTATCACAGTTAAACTGTGTTACTGTAAATTAATGGAAAATGTTACTGCACTTTGCTGAAAGATCAATGTCCAATAAAGGCTGCACAATCAAATCTTGTTGCAATGATTGAGGTCTTTAATTGCATTTCAAAGATAAGGTGGTAATCAACGCAGCTTTAACTGATCTCTTTTACTAGTTCAATTACATGCTAATGACTAGTGCCAAGTCAGAATCTTTAACTACTTATACTTATTAAATCTTATGTGAGTAATGAAAAATTACTTTGGCTACACAATCAATAGAACACAAATCTTAATTACTATATTTCACTTTTTCCCATTTTATGTGCTTGACAAATATTTCACAAGAGCTTTCCCTGCAGTAAAAAGTGCTTTGGATAGTGACCACAGTCCACAGAGTATTTTTCTGATATAAAATGGAGATCAGATGTTGAGAAATTTTTTTTTCTTTAAATGAAAATATGGCTAAAATAGTTTCCACTGATACAAGTTTGGCCATCCAGCTACTTCTCAGAACTCTGTTCTTGTAATTGAGAGTACATTTAATATAACTGGGATAAAAATGTAGATTGGTTTTAGTAAAATGTATTTCTAAAAGTTCAGTTAGTTTTCTAGTTAAGAAACTGGTTTCATACAGAGCCTACTATAAAATTCTATTTTGGGAAAGTGTAAAAGTTTGTAAAGACAAACGATAAAAGAATAGAGAAACTGGACTTCATCAAAATTAAAAACTTTTGCACTTCAAAGGACACTGGAGAAAATGAAAAGACACTGACAAAATGGGAGAAAATATTTGCAAATCATATCTGATAAGGGAAGTAGCCAGAATATATAAACTCTTATAACTCAACAATCCAATTGAAAAATGGACTTAGACATTTCTCCAAAGAAGTTATACAAATGGCTACTAAGAAAAGATGTTCAACATTAACTACGAGGGAAATGCAAATCAAAACCACAACGAGATACAATTTCAAACTGACTAGGATGGCTATAATAAAAAACACAGATAATAACAAATGTTGAAAAGGATGTGGAGAAATTGGAACCCCTATACATTGCTAGTTGGAATGTAAAATGGTTCAGCCACTTTGGAAAAGTCTGGCAGTTAAATATTAAACATGGAGTTACCATATGACCTAGCAATTCTATCCCGAGATACATGCCCTAGAAAGTTGAAAACATGTTCATGCAAAAACTTGTACACAAATGTTCAGAGCAGCATTATTCATTCTAGTTAAAAAGTAGAAACCACTCAAATATCCATCAACCAATGAATAGATAAATAATATATGGCATACTCACACAATGCAATATTATTCTGCCAAAAAAATGAGTGAAGTACTGATACTTGCTACACCATTGATGAAGCTTGAAAACATTATGCTAAGTGAAAGAAGCCAGTCATAAAAAAACACTTATTGTATTATTCCACTTATATGAAATGTCCAGAATAGGCAAATCTATAGAGACAGAAAGTGGATTAGCAATTGTCTAGGGCTGGGGAGGTTGGGAGGAAAAGGGAGTGACTTAGTGGGCATAAGGTTTCTTTTGGGGGTGATGAAACTGTTCTAAAATTGACTGTGGTGATGGTTGCACAATTCTGTACTCAAAATTATTGAATTGTACACTTTAAACAGAAGTACTATATGGCATGTGAATTCTCTCTCAATAAAGCTATTAAAAATTAGTAAAGGGGGTGGGGAAATGGGCTGTTAGTGTTTAATGTGCATAGAGTTTCAATTTTGCAAGATGAAAAGAGTTCTGGAGAAGGATGGCATTGATGGTTGCACAGTGATGTGAATGTACTCAATACCAATGAACGGTGGGTGACCTTTAAAATGGTTAACATTGTAAATTTTGTGTTCTGTGTATCTTACCACAAAGAAAAGGAATTTTTAAGAATTAGTAAAGGATTCAGCATTACTATGATAAAATTAACTGCATGATTTTTATAGAAAGTAACTGAGTTTGGGAAAATGTTAGAACTTAAAAGAGGTAAAATGTTAATAACATCATTTTATATGTTGCAGTCCTGGAATTTAAAATATTTTAGTTATGAAACCTAGTTTTAATTAAGTAGAAGAAATCTCATTTGGGATAATTTTTAGTAGCATTAAGAAAAGGATATATATACTTGGTTTGAGATTACTTAAGACCAAAGAAAAGCATGTAAAATGTTAGTAAATGAAAATACCTTTTTAGACCCTAGTTGCTGGATAAAGAATATCAGCTACCACTAAAATAAGGTTTTATATAGTACTGCTTATAGCTATTTTAGTTGCACTTATATCATTTTAAATACAGTTTATGAACATTGTACTACTCCATTATATTATTAATTTATCTTCAGAGATATTTATAGTATCAATTTAAAAGCTGTAAAACTTCATGAAAAGTAGCTTAAACACAAGGATTTTGATAAACAAAAGCTTTCAGTTTTAAAAAGCAAATCATGGAAGCTGTACTTCTTAAAGATTTGAAGGTTTTTTGTTGTTGATGATGGTAGAATTATGAACCTTATAAACTCAGTATTTTTTAGTTAACCTAAATACATAAATCTATTTGAATTCATCTTATGAAAAGAGATATGTCATTAGATATATGATCATTATATGCTTTGGTGATTCATGGACCTTGTTACATACATGCTTTGTAATGTATGAATTATTTAGTAAGAAAAATCACAATAATTTTGTTGTTACTCAAAAATTTATGGGTTGGCAGAAACAATTATGCAGCCCCTGAAGCTGGTATGTTAAGGTAACATCATTAACGCTACGTAGTATGATTTTTTTTAGTAGTTACTTGACATAACCTTTACTGCTTCTGCTAGAATATATCAGTAATTTTATAACAACCTGTCTGTAAAGAGAACACTGAATTTATTAAACACAAAATGATTCATTTTACTCTATTTTCATTTAAGTGCATAATTTAAAATCATACCTAAAAAGTGTTTACCCGAACCCCAAAGGAAGAATAAAAATATAACCAAAAAAAAATCAATACTCTAATAAATAGATATAAATTTAAAACTCCATTTAATGAAAGTAGATATTTTTATTACAAAAAAGTATATGTTTAAGAATTGGATGAAAATAATTCATGAAGGTAGATTATCTTGTAGCCTTTCTTTAAGGCCTTTCTTTACTGTGAGGTGAAGCCACATTTTAGTTTCTTATGCTTTCAAATTTCCAAATTTTATAAAATGAAGGAACCAAGACTTGAAAGTTTGAATAAAAATCTAAATAATGTCATTTAAATTTTAGATAACATTTTAAAATCAACATTCATTCATCCTACAGATAATTTTTGCACTGATGTAATTTTAACAATTTTACCTGTCAACAAAATCTAGAAGTTCTGAAACTACATAACAAGGGTCCATTCAAGCCATACTGAAAAAGAGGATTCTGTACACAGCTGGATGAGAACCATGTTCTGTTCATTTTTTGAGTGTTTCCAGTGTATGTCATATAAGGAAGGCTCTATGTCAAATGAATGTATGATGATTCAAAATTAAACAGATAACTTGCCTTCATCTTTAAGAGATTTTAGAAAGAGATACTATAAATCAATAGATCATATGGATTCCTTATAAGAATAGCAACAAGCTTTGAAATACTATCTCAGATGTAATGAATTGACTTACATGGTTCTATGTATTTCAAAAAATAAAAGATTGGAATCTTGTTCCATTATCCTTTTTAGGCATTTCAAAAGGTGCCATGTATGTTCTCATATAGGAATTTTGCTATTTGAAAGTCAAACAGAATGATGTGTAGAAGTAAATGAAGTGAAACATTAAACAGAAAGTAGTAGGATCAAGTAGACTTACTCTAGAAACAATGCACTAGTAACTAGGAGACAAGAATATTTTAATTTGAGTTGGCAAAAAATGGATGGGTTACTTCTTGATACAGTGAGGCCTGTTGTTGGAGATGTTCAGCGAGGCAGCGGGACAATTCCTTAGGTTGATGTGGAGA